GTTATTTTTTAAATATTATTTATTAATATATCATTTATTATTTAGCAGTAATTAGTACTATTGTGCCCTGGAATCAATGTAAAAAAAACACCTCTGCAGTGCCCACTGCTCGTTAAGTCTAGGTGTGGAGAAATAATGGTCCTGCATTGTACATAATGGCGTCTGACTGTGACTGCTGGGCAAAGCGAGTTAGAGAATAGAGAACTGGGGGCACCAGTCACAAAGTGTGGTGGGCCCACTGTAAGGGTTAAGAAAAATGATGCACCAAGTTCTGCTTTAAAAACTTGACAAAGGGTCTCATCCTTCCCTACTATTCCCAAAACGAAACTAAATAAATAAATAGCCTTTACACACACTGTCATGTAAACAGTGCAATCTATGGAGGCGTTGGCCCACCTGCTTTATTTACAAATACTGCTGATGGTGTTTATCATTCAATAGTTTTTTCTGAGGACTTATGGAAGGCACCAGGAGTGCAACAGTGGATAGCTGCCCTAGGGCCTATTCACATGAGTTTCAGGTCCTGATCAGGTCCGGACATTAGAACTGTAGCCCATAAAACACATAGGGATACATTGGGATGCATTTTTAGTGCAGGAGCGTACGGATCCGGTCAGCACACAAAACGGACGTCGTGTGAACAGGCCCTTAGGCCTTGTTCACAACAAGCACGTATTTTCTTGCACATGAGCAGTGTAAATTGTATGAATTTTGACGTACAGAAACCTTGCGAAAATCGTACGATCGATCGAAGTTTTCTAACCTGCTCGTTAGTCAAAAATCTATCGATTGTACAGTATTTGCGGTTGTACACTGCCCATCAACCTTACGAATATCGGACGAAAACGCGATCGCATACGAAAATCGTCCGATATTCGGAAGGTGTATGGGCACCTTAAGGCCCCGTTCACATGTAGCGGCTTATCGCGCGATTTCGCGCATTTTTGCCGCGCGATATCGCGAGAAGTCACCGGCTAATGATAGTCAATGGAGCTGTCTTAGATCCATGTCGCTCGTCGCGGTCGCAAGTCGCTTCTACCGCACCCTTTTTTCGGCGGATTTTGCTTTTTTTCTATGGAGCCCGACGGAGAAGGTCGCGCTACCGTCGCTTGATCGTCGCTGGAACGTCGTCCCGAAAGTCGCGCTATCCCGGCCGCTGCAAAGGTATGTCGCTACATGTGAATGGGGCCTTAGACTGCTCTAGCCTCCCACCCCAGTGCTTGTTTGTGCCTAGGGAGGGGAAAAAAAGTTATACTCGCCCAAATTGCATAGCCAGCTGGCAGCTACTCCAGTCCCCTAAGCCTGTCTCCTTCTCCGCTGTAGCTGTTGGTATGTTCCCTGGCATCCTCACGTCGTATACAGTGTATAAAACATGATGACTCAGGGATCCTTAGACCTGTCTAGGAGTAAGTCAATTCCGGGGATTTTTTAGCACGTAGACATGAACAATTGCTTAACCCTTCCAGTGAGGTGGTAGCCTCACGTCCTTCCTCCCATGAGGGTGGCTGAGCAATTAATTTTCCATCCGGCTCCTTTAACCAAAGTCTATTGAAAAATAAAATTTTGTCGAACCGGGTGGTGTCGCAGGGCCGGTCACAGATTGAATATTGGCCGATTCAGCTCAGTTTCCATCTGTGTATGGCCAGCTGTTTTCAGGCCAAAAAATTAGATTTCCCATCACTTTCTTTACCGCTGACAGTGGTCACCTGGAGCAATCGTGAGGTTGAATCTCCCAGCAGGCTTACAGGCAGCAATGAGAACCTAACCATGCTCCCGACACTAACATGTTATAACTAAGGGCCCATTCACCCAATTGCGGTGCGTTCCAGAGCGGCAGCTGCTGGAACGTACAGCAATTGCTCACTAAACTTCCTCCTTCATTCTGTGGCGGGAGGGGGTGTGGCGGTGCATTGAAGTCTATTTTTTGCATTTGCCGTGGATTGGAATGCAGGCAATGTTTTGTCATGCGCCTGATCGGACTGCGGGCGGGGTGGCGTGACTGTGATGCCATTGACTTCAATGCACCGCCACACCGCATCCCGCCCCAGAACAAAGGAGGAAGTTTAGTGAGCGATTGCTTTGCGTTCCAGCAGCTGCTGCTCTGGAGCACACTGAAATTGGTGTCAATGGGCCCTAAAACAAAAAAGAGAGGTTACACTTAAAGTGTGATAGGAAAAACCCTGTTGTGTTTTTTTTTTTCTCCATTATTATTTTTTTTTATTCGGTATTCAAAATAAACACAAGTTAACTTGAATTACTAACATTGCCTTTGCTGGGTTAACAACCTTCTATTCCTTTAGTAAAGCAGCCCCATTGTGTTAAAAATGAGGGGTCTGTTTTTGTATCTCATCCGTTTAAGTGAATAAAAGTCATGTGATCTATATTGGCACATTTTTTACAGAAAAAAGTTTGCACATATGGCAGTCTATACATATTTAAAAAATGTTTTGCTATGCACCTCAGAGAGCAGTAAAAAGAATATTCAGCACGCATTATAAAACATTCGGAACATATAAAAGAACTTGGAAGAAATACCCGGAGTGTAGAAGTTGCCTGATTACAGGTAGATTTGTAATGGTCTCGCGTAGTGCGGCTTTACAATTCTAAACTTTTTTATTTTTTTTTGTAGCTTTTACCTAGATTTGCAGAATCTATTTATGGCGACATTATTAAGGTCTGCCAGTGGAACTGAGTTCAATAAACTATTGAAAAACGTCTTTCAACAAGTGATAGCGACCTAGGGTGGGATTAGTGTATAGAAAACAGTTTGTGACACCCGTTAAAATGCGTCATTGTTTTGACAAGAGGGTCACAGGGTCACGATATGTATGTTGATGGCGTCTCTGAAAGAGCGGGTGAAGTAAATCTTTTTCCTAACAATTATCTTGAATTTTGTGCAGCCATAATAGCATTGTTGTAGTACAAATGTACACCGTAACAATCTTCTGCACTAAAAATAATTGGACGATGATACGTGTCTGCTATAAGTGACGTCTTAGATCATCTGAAGAGTCGAATTGTTCTAGCTAATGATATTAATGTGTAACAGTG